GTTGAATTTTCAACAAATGAGCACTATGTTATGATATTATATAAGTGAGAAATGATTTTATAGTCTTATTTAATATCATTCTCAATAATGGGATCAGAATGAAAATGTGACTAAGAATTCAAACATATTCTTTATCTGAGACTAGATTTTTATTTGAAAAGTGAATCTGAAATCTTTAATATTTGAAATAACATGATTTGAGATCAATGTGATGAACACAAACCATGATCAGAAGTAATGCTTTTAGGCAATGTGACAACTGTAAAGTTTGGTCCTGGTCCCAGACACGGTCACACGGTCAGTCTAGGTGTGGTAGGGGAGAACGGGGGATAATCCCACACAGGAGTTTCGAACAACATCTGGTTCATGTTTGGCTGGATAACTCCACCACCACACGGGGTATGCGGTCGGCGATGGGGTCAAAATGCTTGTATGATCGAGGGCTTTTCGATGGATCTATCGGCGGGTTCTTATTCAAAAAATCGAGCGAGTTTGTGATGAAGCGGTTGTAAGATTCTTGGAAATGATTCACTCTTCAGTATATCTGTAAGAGTTAAGAAGATTCTTATAAATATAAAGATAAACTATCTATAGAAATTCACAAAGTTCAGAGAGATCTCAATTTTGTGAATACTAGTTAACTCTGATTATAATATAGATAGTCTCAATCTGTGAAGACTTTATTTGAATATTATTTATAATTATTACATATTCTAGAAAATGAATCTGATAAGTACTGAAGTTATACTTTATAAGCTTAATATACAGTTCTATCTTATCTAAGATCTTTAATATAGTTTATATATACTCATTGTGTTCTTTCTTCTTTATAAAGTATATTATCACATTATTCAGATATATAATTATAAAGATATTCAGATATACATGAAGTATTTTATTAATAAAAGACTGAAATACTATAAGAGTATTAGTCAAATTAAAAGACATTACTAAATATTTAAATAATCTCAGTATAGTTTTAAAGATAGTCTTTTATTCTTCTTTAAACTGTATTCACAGCTGTGTATATATAGTGATTATATTCAGTTATATGAATATAATAGCTCTTATAAGACAGTTGATTACATTCTCAATCAGAGATAGAAGATAGCAACTCTTTATAGTCTTAAAGTTCAGATTATAGTAGTTTATATATAATCTGAGATCTTTATTCTTCTTCTTTACAAATATTACAGAGACTTCTGTGAAGATCTGTAAAAATTGAATAAAGTTATGCTTCAGATTCTTCTTTATATAAGCTTACACAGCTTCTGTTTTATAATAAGAGAGTTTATAGATTGATTCTCAGAAGAGTTTCTACTCTTCTATTAAATCTATTATCAGATTCTTCTCATAGTGAGATGAAAGCTTAGCTATCTTAGCTGAACTGAACATCTCTATAAGATCTCAGTATTTCTCTAATATCTGAAGCTTAGTTTTTATGATTACAAAGTTCTTAGACATTTATAAAGTTATTATATAGATAGACTTATCTTCTCTAATTAACTCTACAGTATTAACTGATTCTATCTTTATAACTGAGTCTATCAACACTGATCAGAAATATAAACCTGACTTGTAAACAGCTATATATGAATTATATCTTTGAAGTTATATAAGTCTTAAGTACATGTTATCTATAATATCTGTGATAATCATAGTTTTTATAAATCTTCTTCAAGTTTCAGAGAGATCTTACAATTCAAAGATAACTTTTATAAGTTTCTCAGCTCCCAGATCTGAGTTCTCACATTCAGCTTATTATAGAAGTAGATTCTCAGTTTTCATTACTCAGCTTATTTATATTATAAGCTTTAAAGATACTACAGTGATCTGAAAGTCTGAGTTTATTAATACTTCTTATACTTATAAAATAGTAGTATCATGGCACAGTCTCTCTCTATAAGTATGTATTTTTATTGACAAAGTAACAGATTCAGATGTTAGCTTTAAGACTCTTCAGAAGACTATTACTAACTCTATTTATAACTTCTTAAATTTCTATTTTAATTTATCAGAACAGTTTGTATGAAGATGTTCTGATTTAGAATAGATAAAGTAGAGACTCTTTTTCTTAATCTTTCTATTATATACTGTGTTTATGAAAGCTTATAAAGCTCTCTCTCTCTACTTAGTAGTCAGATATGAATCTCTCTATATCTTATTATCTTTTCACAGTAAATCTGATCTCTGTTATTCTAACTCTTATAGAATCAGTCAGTAATTCACTCTTTATAAGTCTGTAACTCTCACAGTGATCTGTAAATAGTGAATAAGAGTTATCAGTTTCTTCAGAGTCAAGAACTTAGAGTCTTACTTAATAAGTCTATTCTGTATATTTAGACTGATTATGTAACCGTGTCTGAGATCAGAATCAAACTTTATAGTTATTATATTATCTAAAAGTATTACTTCTGATTATAATTTATATTTATTACATTGATCTCAAATTACATTATTTCAAATATTAAAGATTTTAGATTCACTTTTCAAATAAAAATCTAGTCTCAGATAAAGAATATATTTATTATTATTATTATTATTATTCTTTTATTATACTCATATGCAAGCGGAGCTTATAATGAGTCCTTGCGTGATGTTAAATACAGGTCAAGTGTTGATTATATAGGAGGAAATACAGGTGTTGAGACCACGTCAAGATAACAAGAACATACATAGAAAAATACAAAGAAGTGATAATTAGATACATGCGATAATAACTTCCCAGCTCAGGAACATCAAGCAATTCATTGAAGTGATTTGTACACCTCTGTATTTGTTAGAAACCTGAGGTGCTTGAGTTCCGGATTTAATGAATTCCCTGCAGGTTTCGAACCCACGCGCCTTGATTTCCCACGCCAAGGTGCTACCAGGTGACCGCATTAACCATTCAGCCACCGGGGCAAGAATGTATTTAAATTCTTAGTCACATTTTCATTCTGATCTTATTATTGAGAATGATATTAAATAAGATTATAAAATAATTTCTTACTTACATAATATTATAACATAGTACTTATTTATTGAAAATTTAATAGACAGTATTATTAAATATTATTACTTTTCTAAATACAGATTATAATTTCTATAATTTTAATTTATAAAAAATATAAAATATAAAAAAAAACAAAAAAATAAAAAACAAAACAAAAACAAGAAAAAATTATAATAAAAAAAAGAAAAAGAAAAGAAATTAAAAAAAATAAAAAAAATCAAGATTACACAGTTATAGTACTCTTAAAATACTCACTTCTTAGAGTCTTTATATTATTCATTATTAACTGTGTATCTCTCACAGTGAGAGTAATATAGTTATAATAAGTTATTATCTTAACATTATCTAATAAATAATCAGTATATATCTATATCAATGTGAATAATTAGAAATTATACACTTAAAAAGTGTGATCAGAATGAACTCTGCAGTCACTTAAATAGTATTAAAAATGAAATAATGAAATTGATAATTTCTCTCATCAATTTCATAGATAAAATATATGAAGATAGTCTTGAAAAATATAAGATTCTCTGACTTCTGGTAAAAACAGATCTTATCACAGAGAGACTCTATTTTCATAATATCAGAGACTGAGTATTATTAAAAAGTGTTACTTTTATATAATATATATATACTTACTGCAGTGATTCACTCTCTGTATATATAATTAAGAGTGATAGCTTTCTCATACTGCACAGCTCTTCTTGAAATACTGTCACTGATTTGTAACTCACATAGTCTCTTAGTTCAGTACACACTGTGTATATACAGCTCTGTGTACTGAGACTGTATTAATCATTATAATCTGACATGATACTCACTTTTCACAGATCATATTTTATTTAAGAGAGAAGAGAGAACACAACTACTATGTTATTAAAAGAGAAATGAATAATTAATATTATAAAAGATAATTTAATTTCTTCTATATTTGAAATTTACTTAATCTACACTCTTCAATTTGAGAGTTTCTGAGAATGTTTTAATAGTTTTCATATTAGCTTGAAATTGATGATGAGTTGAAGAAGAGAAAAGAGAGAAGAAAGAAATTAGAATAACTTATCTTTATAATATGAAAACAGAGAATCACTGCAATTATTCTCTCTAGTAATAAAGATCTGTTTTCTACATATATCTCTGATATAGATTATATAATAACTGTATATCAAGAATATCAATAGTGTATGTATTAAATGAAGATAATATTACTATGTAATACTATAGCTGTTTCTGTATATATCTGAAAGCTGTTAATATTTTCTTTGAGTCTTTCTATATTTAATAAGTTAATAATATATTTCAATACACTCTCTCTTTTATTATTAGTATCATCACTATTATTATTATTATCATCATCATCATTACTATTATTATTATTATTATTATCATTATCATCATCATTATCATTATTATTATATTATTACTGACTGTTTTCTCTGTTTTTACTCTCTTTTAATACTTATTAAAACTAATTATATTATCTCTCTTCAAATATTCTACAGTTCTGCAGATCATCAAGATGTGTAAGCACTGTCACAGATTGAAGAAAGAGAAGAAAAAGATATTTAAGTAAAAGAAGACAGATTGTAAGATATATTATAATATCTTGAAAAGACTCTATAAGAGAGTAGAATAATAATAATTGTAAGTAATACTTCTCATGAATTTAGACTGAACTAAGTATAGAAATAATGCAGATAACACTATATATAAGAGATTGAAAAAGAAGATAGTGAAGAGTCTTATACAGCAGCAGTAAGATTAGAAGAAGTCTCAAGAATAATTTAAAACTAAGATGAAGAGAGAAAGAGAGAAGAAGAGTCTTACTATAAATAAACAATAGTAGAAGAAGATTAAAAGAGTGTTAAAGTAAGAGATAAAGAAGTTAAAACTGATAAGTTTTTTATTAAGAGATAATAAATTTTAATAACACTTCTGTTCTCTAATTGATTAGCAGAAGCTGACAGAGAAGAAGAAAATTGAGACCTTGTTCAGATCTCAAATGCACTTCATAATTCAGAATATTAAGAAGACAGCTCTACTCTCTGAACATGTCAATCTGCTTATCACTGACATGAAACCCGAGACAGCAGATCAGAAAATGCAGGATTTTAAGATGCAGATTAATCTGCCTGAGAGAAAGCAGCAGAAACTATTCTCTAAAAAAGCAGTGAAGAGAGATTTTAAAATGATTATCATCTCAGATAAGTAGACTGGCCGCCGGAATCATGAATTTCACATTTAATCTCATTTAATCTGATCTTATACATTTCTTAGCATGAGTTCCACCAGGATTAAGCATCAAAAAAACCTGAAAATAAATCATTTCTTTCAGAAATGCTGTGAAAAATGATCAGATTTAATTCAAGAACAGTGAAATGAGAGTAATTTCTTAGAATAAACAGTGAAAGATAATCATTCTTTCAGAATTAGAATAAGACTGAGACTGAAGATCAAATTCAGTCTCATTCAGTTCATTCAGTAATTACTTATATAATCAGAATTTGATAATAATTATTAATAACACTCATGAAACAACTAAATACATTCTTGTATAAGTTTATTCTTCACTTTCTCAGAAAAACTACACTTCTCTGATATACTGTAATCAGAGATATTAAACTATCTGATAATTTCATATTTTATAATCATAAGTTTCTTGATTATTTCTTCTTGTAATTGTTCTCAGTAATAGTGATAAATATCTCAGCTTGAGTTAAACTTTCACTTCATTCTCATCTCTGTCAATAAAATTACTAGAATATTATGTGTCATCAGTGTAACAGTTGAATATATACTCTCAACAATTTTTTATCACTCTAGAATTAATTTAATGTGTATATTTATCAGATTATCTTGAAGATAGTAATTAAATTCAGTTTTATAAGTATGTAGTTTTATCTGATTTTCAGTTATAATCAATGTATACAAGTTCTGTTTCAAAGTTAGTATTATAGTTTTATATGATATAAAGTGTTATCAAAGATCATTACTTACTAGCGAATTGTGAT